AATTTTAATAAAGTTTTAGTTCATCTATTGCATGCTGCTCTTGCATTTTATTTGCCATCATCATTACAGTTTTCCACCTTCCCCCATCACTGAACATCTCAGTTTTGGGAGATTCTTGTGTGTACTGAGCATCATTATAAAAAGCAGAAGTAGGTATCCAAGAGGTTATTATCTGAATATATTGAGGACTGAAATTACTAATTTGATTTACACAATAGTGGAGTTGGTCTCATCTGATAATACACAGCTGCATATGTTTAGGACTAAATTTTCAAAACATGGTAGATACATAATTTACTGAGACATCATTAGAGAGTTTCATCACATTTGTGGCAAACGCATTTTTTGAAAATCAAAGTCTATCAAAATGTCATAACTTAGGTCTTTGGCATCTCAGAGATGCACCAGTGCACAAGTTGCTCTGAAAATGTGGAACCAGATTCTCAAGTTGCACCAGTTACATTGCTGCTGTGTTACGGCCAGTGAGCCTGTGCTGATTTACACCAGGTGCAAATTGCACTTCTACCTTCTGAGGATGATATCAAAGAGAATCTTTTTTGTAAAATTTGTTTTAGAGATTTTTTCATCTTCTTTTCTGTGACATTTCCATGGAATTGTACAGCTAACCATGGCAAAATAACAATGGACTCCTAACAACACCCAGTTAGTAGCAGAGAGCTCCTGTCTATTTCACAGGCTGAAAATTGTCTACAGGAATATTTGAATAAGATGTTGGTCTCATAACACTTTTGTCTCTCCAACTTCTATATCAAACATAAATATGCAACTATAAAGACTTCACCTGTCAAAGAAGCAGGCCTTAAAGGTCAGCTAGAATTCCAATATCCAAATCTTTCTTCTCTTACTTCTATGACGTCAAGAACAATGTAGACTGTACAACTGGAATTTCTTTGGAATTACTCTGTTTCACAAGCTGGAAGAGGACTTACTGTACTCTTTAGTCCTTGTATTGATAAATATTTAAAGCTCAGTTGCAGAGGTATGATCTACAAATTAGTGCTCTTTGACACCATCCTGGGCTCAGACATCTCTGTTCTACACAGGCAGAACAGTCAGTCCGCAGATGAATGAGGAATAATCTGTGTGAAAATTAATATTAAAAACACCTGCCTATGTGAATACAGACAGCACTGGCAAGGTTCAAGGTTAGAAACTGGGAGCCTTCTAAACCAAGATCACAAATCTTAGTCACCTGAACACAATTATTTTATTAGCTGTAAGCTGTGGGCTCTTGGGCTCATTGTGAGCCAAGGACTACACTAGGACATGATTGCAGCACTCTGCCAGAGTATTACATGTTCCCTAAGGCAAAGTTTATCCTAGCTGGCTGACAGGAGTTCAAGTCCCATGAGGAATGCCACTGTTTAATGAGTCTGTTGATGCATACTCACAAAGCTGCCAGTGGGGATAGAGTCCCCACTTTAAATATTGAAAGCACAAGCCCGTTCTACTTGAGCTAATGAGGTTTCTTACTGGCACAGAAGATACTTGTATATAAATGCCCTCTGGCTACCAGTTCATTATGAGGCCATAATTAAGTAGGATAACGATTCAAAAGTAAACTTCATTTTTGCAAGCATTAATATATATTTGTTTGGCAGGAAAAGAAGGGAGTGTGAGAATTTGGCCCTCAATATTGAAAAATTATACCATATTCTATCATTTTATTGCATTCAGCAAGTAATTCAGCAGCATGGAGCTCAGTGTTAGATGCTTCAATGCTGCAGTGTAGCTGGAACTTTCGGGAATGTGTCATTATGTAGCACCACTTACACGCATGGTTCTTTCCAATGGAAATGAAATCAGGGGTCATCTTCCAAAGAACTTACCTATTGAATCCAACAGAGAACATGACAATGAATGTCATCAGAATCCAAAAAGAAAGAAAAAAAAATGTATCCAGGAAAGCATTATATACAAAACAATCAGTGCAACTGAGCTGTTTCTTAATTTACTTCTTTTATAAAAGAAAAAAAGTCTGCAGGAGGTAACAGCTCCAAAACTGCAATTTCTGATAGAGGAGGCAACTCCAAAGAAAAATTTGAGTAAATAAAGTTCTCAGCACATAGGAAGAAAGTTTTGTCAATCATAGTATCCACAATTGGAGGATGTGGGCAAAAAGGAAGTTCTCAGCTAGATAGATCAAATGCAAAGATGATGTGTAAGGATAAAGGAAGATATATGTTGAAAGCAGAGCACACCATTAATAGTAAATATGCAGAATTTGGAATGGATACTGGTTGACAAATTGTTCCAGAAGATGTCTAAAGGTGTGCAGTCAAGGCAATGGTAGAGAAGTGTTACTAACTGCATTTTGGATAACCTGAAACATTTTGTGGAGATACCAAAAGAAAGATCAGAAAATCAGGCGGTGGAAAATGAAAGCACAAACTCAAGTTTAATGGTGAGGACAGAGTACACACAAAATGTACATTTTGTGTACACAAATACACACACAAAAATGTGTATTTTGTGTTTGGACAGACACAAAAATTGAGGGATTTTTAAGAGGGGAGAGAAGCGGTGTAAAGAAATAGAGCTGATGCAAAATTTTGTCATGTGTCTGGTTACAAGCTGACTGAATCTAGAAATTAGCTTTAGTTAGTAACTAGCACAGATCACTTGTGATCATGGTGATCCTCTGTTTCTATACGCAAGGTACCTAATTCGTGTCAGAATGCTTTACTCCAGTGATTCAGAAGGGAGAATTTTGAACATCAATCTTACTTAGGACTTCATCGTAAACAAATTAATTACTTTGTTGGATAAGGATTTCAGAAATGTTTGTATTTGTCAAAAGTTCCAGCTGAAGTTGAAAGTAAGGCTCCCTTTCCTTCCCAGGAAGGAACAAAAGCAGTCATATTGAACACTTCAGACACTCCCACCAGAATGTTTTTGCCTACAAATCTTTCTATCTAACTACAGCTTTGAAAATTTAGGGTGCTGTACATATTGTACCATTATTTCATTAGTCATGAAGGCCCAAAATGAATTACACAAGCCACTGATTATTCATGTCTCTCAGACCTTTAGTAGATGACATTGTTATTCTATAAGGCAAAGAGAAGAACTTTTAAAGAAGTGTTTCAGGATTCATAAACACATTATTGAAGGTAACCAACCTGACTTGGCTGTTGTGACCCCAGCTCACAGATGGAAGATTCAGCTTTTGTTTGTATGTCTGTATATATGTAAACATCTACTAAACTCCCATATGAACAGTAGAGAAAAAAAAAAAAAAAAAAGAGGGAGAGAGATAAACAAACATGATTGATACACATTTTGCCTCAATTCTTTGTTTTGCATTTTGAAATTGACTATTTTACACTGGATGTAGTCTATTTAATTTAGCTCATCCTATTGTAAAGATGCAAGGGTCAGCTTGCTGGAAGTCCTTTCTGAATTTGGCAGCTGGAGTTTAAAATAAGTGGGTGGAATCTGTTATCATAGGCTAGACTATTATGTCCATATATATACAGAATTAATTTGTTCTAAAATGACAAGCATGAGGCATTTCAGCAGAAAGTCCTGTTCTGTCCCCTATGAGATATCTAGGAAATCATGAAATTTTGTATCTAGATGAAGGTGGGAAGGAAAAGATCTTTCCTGACCTGTACCTCCATTCTTTAGCTTCACTCTGAACACATTAACTATGGAATGAGAATAACAAACCAGACTCAGCTGGTGTAAATTAACCCAGCTACATTGCGTTCCCTTAGACTATGCCAATTCACATCTGTTGAAGCATGATTCCTTAATGTTGATTCATGTTTTCTCTTTTATCTTTATTTTAGCTTCATACAATATCAGCATGTTTGGCTTTGCTTTCTTTGATGAGCAAATGTGGGTAGCATATAATAAGAAGTTACTGATGTATTTATTATTAATAGGGCCATAAAGTCCCTTTGAACATTTGAAAAAAGATGGCTTGTAGGTGTGGAGTTGGGTAACACATTTTGAGAAGAGTAAGAACCATTTGTTTCTAGAGGTATCTTACAAACTAAAGCTTCCATTTTTGTTTCCCATTTACTCAGTGAATTTTTTTTCCTTTTAATCTTTCAATTCCCTCCCTCTGACACTGCAGTCTTTTCTTTCTTCCACTTAGAAATATGAAGAAATGGGCAGGTCAAAGTTGAGATCATTTGTGGGGCTTAGTCACATTGTAAGTCCCAGCACAGCCCTTTCATCTCTCATGAACACAGATCGGGTATTGTGTGAAGTTCTTGAACTGCAAGTGACTTTAAATTCACTCTGGTGGACAAGGGTGAGAAGAAGTCATTTAACTTTTAATAGACTTTCAAGGACGAATGAGCAGCTGGTTGAGATGGAATATGAAATGACCCTTACCACTTCCCCAAACTCAGAATTCAATCTTTTGAGGTTTTAAATAAGGTGGTTAACTTTTTCCTCCCCCAGTTTCTATTCCTCTGTGTTTTCTCAGTTTAGATAGAAAGGGGTGTGTGTGTGAAAAAGACTGAAAAGAGGCTTTTCTGACTCTTGCTGTACCGAAAATTGTGAAAGGAAGTGGTCCCTTCTGATATTTTCTGACAGATTTCCAGAATGGAAACAATTGTTTCTGCTTTATATGACTGATATCAAATGGAATACAAAGAGGCTTGTGTAAATAAGTGTAGCTTGTCTGAAATCGGTGAGACCATGACAAGGCACTGCAGCTGAGGACCTGGGCCTAGTCCTTTTGTCCTGTTTGTACTTGTAAGGAGACTTTACTTGGTATCCTATGCACTACAGTTCTCCCTATTTTTGCATGCCTGGCTTGACAAATTGGGTTTGAGGTGATTTTGACAGCAACTCTTAGCCAAATCAAATTTTTCTTTGATCCAACAGTCTGTCTTCAGTTTTTGAGGTAAAATATCAGTTTATATATATCCGTTTTATATCGGTTTCTAGCTCCCCAGATTGCAAAACACAAAGTGATTTATTTTCAGGATACATATGCATCTCTCTCTTGTTTCTCTTAGTGTCAGACTTGAAAAGACAGATACTATCCGTTGCATTAAGTCTTGTCGACCGAACGATGTCAACTGTGTGTTGGATCCAGTCCACACAATTTCCCACACTGTCATTTCACTACCCACATTCAGAGAATTTACAAGACCTGAAGGTAAGTGGTTTCTTTCTTGTTCCATGTAATAGACTACAACATATAAAACCTCCACCGGAAATCCTTGCCTAAAGCCAGACTAGCTACCGGTGCAGTAAAGTGTTTGCACAGTTCAAAATTACAGTGTGCTATTCCTTTAATTAAAAGCTTCAATATCTAGAGTTTTAATTTTATGGGGGGAAAAAAAAAGTCTGAGCTCTAATTCATACAGCTTCCCAGTATAAGGACATACATGTAGGAAAAACTTGGTCTAAATTCCCCTTTACATTTACTCACATAATATCGGTGTGTCCCGTGATTTCTCTCTTCCCTCTTTTGCACATTTTGCTGTAGGAAGTAGGTATTCTTTATATTTCTCTCATCTGTTTATGGTCTGTTGCATGCTATTGGCAAGTGACTTGTTCCAGTTGTATCTCCTTTATCTCCATGTAGGCCATAGATCACAAAATAGAGTATGTATTTATACATCTAATACTCTGATTTGCTGACTTTTGACCTATGAAAAAATAGTGTTACTTTAAAAATATAAAATAAAAGAAGGGAAATTCCTATAAAATAAAGGAAGGGAAGGACTGGCCAGAAAGCTTTTAGGCATCCTAGTGAGCAGCTGCTTAGTTGTACAAAGGGAGTTTACCAACCCAACATGGTGAACTTTGATGGACATATTTGCATATTTCTTCAGCTTCTTCAGCCTCTGTGGTCTCTGTGAGCCTTCAAGTCCTGCAATTTCAGAAGGACCACACTCACTTTGCTTAGTTCACATATAAATTTACAGATTGAGAGACAATTTTTGCTACTTGGCATTTGTATTCACTTTCTGGTGCCTTCTTTGGGGATTGCCTACATATCCAGAGGTGGGATGACTGCCTTCACCTCAGCTTCTCTAATGCAATGTATTTCATGATGAAGGTACAGAGAGAGAAGAAGGAGAGGGAGGGTGGGAAGATCAGTTTGGAAAAGTTTTTAAAGATCTTAAATCCCTGTTTCTGATCCACCCAGAGTCTCAGCTTTGCTTCCTGAGGAAGCTGTTCTAAATGAGAGCCAAAGCTGACTCTTCATTTTTCTATCAGTCACTCTCAACCCCTTCCAGGCTGAAGAAGTAGGGCAAGAGACATCACAGTTGTTGTTCATATAGGAACAATTTAGCCACCAATAGCATGGATGAATAGAGCTGCTGTATATTGCAGCAGGCTTGTTTCAGGCCTTAGCTGGCCCTACATCACAGAGAATGGAGGAATGCCCCATAGCCACTTTTACTCCCATACACACCCTGTCAGCTTTACCAGGTGTACTGGCAGCAGAGCTAGGGATTTGGCCCAGGATGCTTACCAAACAGTTCCCTCATTAGTCCATCGTGATTTAATAAAACAAGATGAGGCTTAGTAATCTGAGAGTAATACCAGAGCTCAGAAGTTGTTCTTTAATTCAGTGCATGGCCTTGGGTGAATTCTTGCAGCTCCATGGTTTAGTTTCATCATCTGTAGAGCAAGGATAATAATATGAATAATAATACTTACCTCCTTCACAAGAAGCTTGAAAACTAACCTAAATCCCTCCTCCAACACTGAAAAGGACTCTACAATTTGTAATGTCAATGCTTTGTGCAACTGCCTAAGGGAATCAGAGTTCAGGGGTCTATCTGTTTCATCCCCCTCCACTCCCTACCCTGTGGATACTTAGTGTTGTCATTTCTATGTACATGCTAGAAGTCTGACTGATTTCTGAGTGGTGTTTCTGGACTGCAAAGTAGCAGTGTTTTGGCTTCAGGGCTTCTTGGATGCTACAGGAGGAGAAAATAAATCTATCTGAATGTTCTCTTCCTGCAAAAGTTCTTTCTTTTCTGTTCTAAGAGACAACCTCTCCAAGGGAAAGGCAGGGGAATATTTGTCCTCCACTGCCTTTGTGGACAAGTCATTCTGGGTCAAATGATTATTTTTTTTTTTTCCAGAGATACTTTCACTACTTCTCAGTACATTCTGTGATACCCTTTATTTGCAGAGATTATTTTTCTTCGTGCTATCACACCTACATATCCAGCCAACCAGGCGGATATCATATTTGACATAACAGAAGGAAATTTAAGAGATTCCTTTGATATCATCAAGCGTTACATGGATGGTATGACAGTGGGTGAGTAGACTGTTTTCTGCTTACAGTACACTTTCTTGTCTCAATAGTATTATAGAACAAGGTCAAAGAAATTGAGCAATTCTTTTACACCTTGATTTTCAAGCCTGTATTGATTTAAAATTCTCCCTCTCCAGTCCAATATGTCTAATTTGAATTTACATCACCTTTTTTTTTTTTTTTAATTCAAAACACCAGAGGCCAAACTTTAATTTGAGAAGTATTTTGACTTTTTTTTCAGAATTAATTTTTATTACCAATGCAAATGGCTTAGCTTTAAAATTATGGTGTTTGTCCATTACAATCAAACCAAATATAAAATATGTAGTGTGTCAACAAAGACACTGTAAATTTAATTAACGGTTCTTTCATGTTTAAACAGCATGGCATCAATTTTTTGGATAACAATCAAATCTTTATAGCAGGACTATTTTACTGAATCTGTTCCCTGTTTTGATATTAAATGACAGCCTTGTTCAGTTTTAAATAGATATCTTTCTGTTGAGGATAAAATGGATCTGTCACACACTGTGGTTTAGAAGAAACTTAAAAAGGAGTTTTACCTGTGCATGTGAGTCATGCGCTAGACCTGCATCTCATCACATAGGAGGGAAGGTCTGCAACACAACCTGGGGTCATACCTTCTGGTAGGTTTCTTTCAGAGCAAGGCTCTTTGGCAGGATATAATGCATACTGTGTGAAGCAGCATGTAATCCATCTCACGTATCTAGTATATTACACGTGTGCATACAGAAATGTATTTACAGTGTTTACCATAGCTTGGCTCTCACTCTGGGACCCAACATACCCATGCGTAGTTGGCAAATGATGTGAAGGTCACAGAGCAGAAGCAGGTCCCAGCTGCTCTGCCCCATGTGAATCACTAGTGCAGGGGCAGGGGAATATTCTGTGATTCTTATGCTCAGAGAATGAATATGCCGGGTCTGGCTTATTGTAAAGTATTATTTGATTGCTCTTTATTCAAGTTTATTTATGAAAATAAAGGACCGCAGTTGCTAGTGAAGGCTTGTGCTTCGTGACATGAATGTGCACGTTCTGCTCAGGTTTATACATGTGTTTTTGGGCTTCCTAGCAAGATTTGTCTGCATGGAAAGAAAAATCGTTGCTGTGCTTTAGTTTTGTGAAGAAGCCATGTTTAGTGCGATCTGAAGGTGGCACTGTTGCATTTTAGAAGCGTGATTGTATAGTATCAGCTGTGCAAAGCTTTTATGAACTGTAGATAAAAATCGTAAGTCATTAGGTTTATATTTCTTTCTTTATCAAACAGAAGTATACGTGTGAATGCTGAGAAAGAGGGAGAGTCTGTTAAAGCAGGATGATAAGATTACAAATTTCAGGTATTGGGTTGATTCTTTAAAAGAGTATAAATGTTATCAGATCCCACAGTAGTTAGAGTAGCTTGCTTTTCATGCTGTGTGCTTCTTTCTGTCTAAAATAAGAAAGAAGGATGTGTTTCAAAATTTGACTGGCCAAGGCATTTGCCTGGGGGAAACATTTCCATTCTGAATAATAGGACTGCCTGTCAATGGTATTTTACTTTGTAAACTAGATATATACCTCACAGTGTTAGGAGAGAAAGGATATTCTTTTGTACCAGGCTGAAAGGATATGATATATGGCTAAGTACATTCCCATCTCTGTAAAAGAATTGGGCAATGGTTTCTTCACCTCAGTTCCCCCATGTGCAACATGGAGATGATAAAACATGCCTACTACTGTCTTAATTAATTTTTGTATGTAAGAGTTTTAATTAATTCCTTTATGTAAAAGTACCTTGAGATTAATGGATGGAAGTTGCAAAGTAAACTGCCTGCAGCAGAAATGGAAAAGGAAAAACAAAACAAAAACCCAACTGATATTACTTGGAGGGGCAAGGGATCAGGACAGCACGTTGTATGTGTGAAATTAGGATTGCAAATAATTCTGCCAGCAGCAGTTCTGCTGCTCCCATCATAATATTGTTTTTCTTTTTATTAATAATCAGAATGTTAGGTGTTCCCATAAAAATGCTGGGAAATTTTCAAGACAAATAAGTAAGATGGGATCCTAGTCCACAGGAATTCACAAAGTGAGTCCCTTTTATAAAGAAAAGGGAAGGGCTTGTATAAGGATGGAATGAGAGGAAGGACATAGGTGATATAAGAAAGATTTATTGGTTGTACCATTAAATTTTAAGAACGTAAGAACTGTGGGGATGTAACATAAGAACTCTAGCAGTGAAAATGTCCAGCTAGCCCAGTAACCAGCGTCCAACATGGGCCAGTAATAGACAGGTATAGTGGAATCGTTCTCCAAAGGTAATGGTCCAACTACTGTAATCATCAGTTTATATGTTTCTGGGAGCACACATCTGGACTGCCTAATGACACATTATGGATATATTCCTCTTGAATCTGTTCAGTCTCTTTTTAAGACTTTTTTTTTTTTTTTTCCTGCTGATAATAAAACATAGATGCATGGGTAAAAATACTAATAAGCATGTTTAATATTCTGTTGTAATATTTCAGGAGAAAAGGCCAGTGTAACAAAGCTATTTTATCTGCTAATGGAAATTAAATCACCATTAGGTGACCCTTCTCTACAAGAGTAAACACAGAATGCCTCTATAGGAGTATTTTATTTTTTTTAAGAAAAGACATCAAGTAGCTCAGAGAGAGATGAAATGCATAAGAGCATATGGAAAAAGCAGGCAAATATGTACTAGTCTTACTGAAAGAGCTGAGTATAATAAACTCTGACTTGATTTTAGAACAGAGGAAACCAACGAAGGGATTCAAAGAAAGGAGGGAACACTGGTAAGAGGGGGAGAAAAGACAGATAAAACAACTATGAAGATGTTCTTACAGAAGTCTTTCATTTTTAGAATGTTTTTGCTAGTTTGTCACAAACAAGGAGAGAGATGACTGCTTAAAAAGGAACTGCACCTAGGCTGTGCTTATGTGAATGGAAAAGAACAAGGTACTCTCAAAAGTGTAACATAAAAAATGTGAAAAGGTGCAGGAGATTTCTTTTGGCAACAGTTTAGAGAAGAGGAACAGCTGTTAAAGATGGAGTTTCTGAAGGAAAGAGAGAACTTAGGCATTGATAGAGAACCGTGGAGTGAAGAGAGTCAGCTCATCAATTTTAGGTCTTATACCATTAAGCTGACACTGAGACATCAGGGAGAAGATGTTAGAGAAACTGAGAAGTATGTAGGGTTGGATGGAGAATGTCTGTCAGCCTGGTTTGTGACTTTTTGGTGGTGCTGAGGAGATGGGAGCTGAGGTCATACAAAAAGATGAGGATGTTTAGGAGCAGGTTGTGAGAAAGAAAAAAGAACACTAACAATGGAGGGAAGAGCTGCCCCAGGGGAGGGTTAGAAAAAGAAAGAACAAGGTCTCCCAAAGGAGACATAGAAAGAATAGCCACTGAGGTACGAGCAGAAAGAGGCAAGGACAGTACTGCAAAATCTAAGAAAGAAAATACATCAAATGGGAATCAATGACCATCAGTATCAGATATGGAGGAGCCAGAAGAAGTAAGCAAAGACTACAAAAAAGTGACAGTGCCACCCTACAGAAAGAGTCTTACAATGGAACAGAAGGAACAAAAGCCAGCCTGCTGGAATGGCAGTGTGTAGACTTCATGCAAGCTGAAAAAATAAAAGAACTGAGCAAACAGCTGCCTCCAATATTTCTACCCAACTGTATTAAAGATGCTGAACTCTATGCTTCCATTGTTCAAAACGTTGCGTAAACTCTCTGTTGGCTGGTGTGGTTACAGTCCAAGATGGCACTGAATCCAATAGATACAACGTAAGGTTAACAACTGCACATCACTTATTAGCATGGGCAAGAGAAAAACAGAAGTGCAGACCTATTCGTTTTTTTTAAAGCTTTTATAGACTTTTCACTGCATTCCTCCTTTAACCAGCTGTCAGTGAAAAATGAAGAATGCATTTTCAACCTGCACAAAAATGTCCTATTAATGCCTAAGGTATTATCAAGTACTATAAAACATTTTCCCCCTCAGCTACACATTCATTTCCTTGGGTGACTGTAATACCACCTTGTAGTCTGGTAGGCTTCAGGAAGGTTTTAAAATTTCTTAATACAGCTAAAAGTAGTGCTGATAGATTGAAATCTTCCCCATCACATTTGATACTAACTTAAGTAGATATTCTTCTTGCCTATGAAGCAGAATGATACTATTCTTAGCAAAAACACCCAGAGCCAGTACAATTAGAAAATTTCGGTTGTACCTGTAGAGGTTCTCAGGGGTGTTGTGCTAGTGCTTGAATACGTTGGTATCCAGTTACTTATAATTTTACAGATATGCAATACCGCTCTTGATTGCTCTTGTTATATACAGGCATTCATATTTTTCAAATCATTCTGTTGCAGCAGGTACAACTCATGCATTGTGTTAATGATTTAGTTTTTCATCTTTCAAACAGATCTAGGATTTGTGTTGTGCCCTATACATATAAAACTTACTGTTTGCTTAAAGTTATCATTTGAGGAAATTGAATTTATCATAGTGCCTATCATTTGAATGCTTCTTCTGCCTCTCAGAAAGCAAAGAAAACTGAAATCATTGCAAGTGGCAATGATTTCAGTTACAGTTGCAAGGATTCCACTGCTACCTCTGTCCTGTCTTCCTAGGCTCTTTTCCATGCATATTAATTCATGATGTTACTGTTGAACCATTACAGAAAGTGTCTGAACTGCTGTTATTGCAACAACGGATTTATTAGTAGTCTTATTTTTACTGTGGTACCATGATCATTTAATATATTCCAGAGGCTGGACAGAGACTTTAAAAAATGAGCAGAAGGTAAACCAAAACAGATGGCAAAAGAAACTGTGCTTGTAGGATCCGATACTGGTTGTGGGTGGGAGAAGGAAACTGAAGTCTTATTTGACTTTTAGGCAAACCTGCCCTTAGCACAGGGATAGTTCCATAACTCACAAGCAATCTGGCCATTCCCAGGCACAGCAAAG